ACTGGTCGCCAACTGGATTTAGCTCCATCCCACTGTCTATGTTAACTGATGAAGATACTGAAGCAATACTGGTCTCATTATGTCTCCTGAGGGACACCACTTGTCACTGATCTCTATCAAGACATTGAGCCGTGTACAACTACTCCTTGGCTTATGACCATCCAGACAATTCATTATGCACCAAATAGTCTGTTCATCAAATCCATCATCTTCTTGAAGTATGGAGGAGTGTTTTGGTAGCCTGGAATGGAATTTATGAAATCATTATTTACTATCTGGGAAGATATCTTGGTTAATACGTGTAAATTGTTTGCGAGAAGTAGACTTGCTACTTTGTAAGTTTTCCAAGTGTTTTCCATGGACCCATTTTTTGTATATTTTAAAGTTGTCTGTAAATACATTCTTCTAACACTCTGACCAAATAAAATGTATATAGTTTCTGATACCTTGTTGTAGCTTATAATGCAGCAGTCACTTTCCCAGTAAAAAGTCTGCGAATATGGGCCATCTGTCCATCCATAACAGTAATCTGTCCAATGTAAATTTTGCCATCAGTTTCCGTGAATTGAGTGTTTCACTTGAACGCCTGAAGTTAGCATTTGATCACCATATTTAGAAGCCCCTTAAATGGTCTATTTTCAGAAAACATTTGCTGTCAATTCTGGTTGGAATCAGTGAAACTGATTCTGAAAATATAGGTCCTTTAAATGTGGTTTTTAAAATACCTGCCTCCAGTTATTCAGTTTTGAAAATAGTAGCTTCAAATTCTTCCAGGGCAGTGGTAAAAATGAGTGAGTCATTGTGCTTCCTGTGCCAGTAGCATCCAGAGATAATAATGGAAGGAGTGTACATGGGACTCTTCCAGCTAATGTCAGTTGTTGTAATGGTCAGGTAGATGCTTTGATTAATTGCAGTCTGTACCAAAAGCAAAGAGAGTCCAGTTTTTGGGTCAGCATCCCTGCCTGCAGTGAGGACTCTATAAAACCACTGGACCAACTGGATGTTGTTAGTAATTTCCCCCAGAGAAACAGGTTAAAACATCTGTGAGTGGGGTTTTTTCCTTTTAGTTAGGAGTTGAATTTCATAACTGATCAGCACTTCAGTTACATTGTGTTTGGGTTTCCATTAACTGAGAAAAGAATACCCCAAAACTGTATCTTCAGTGATGCTGTTGTCCATCTGTAGAATGTTGTTCACGTGAAAATCTCAAGTACCACTTATGCAAGTATTTGTTTCCTCCTTTGTCCTGTTGGTATGCTTAGGACCATCCATGAAAATACTGATAATTGAAAACAGTCTTCATTTATTTTTGCAGTCAACTCCGATGTCTTTCATAAGCTGGCAAAAAGACCCAAAGTGCTGCCTGCTAGCATGCTTCTAACATTAATGGAAGTGTGTAATGATATAAGAAGTAACTGCAGTAGGTGTCCAGGGATCTGGCTGCTGAGTAGAAGACTGTTAGGCAATTTAAAAGTAATTAACTTGGCATAAAAAGGTGACAGTTACCATGTCCAGAGGAAAAGTTGGTTGGGGCAGTGCTTTTTTTACAGTAGGTGGCTGGTATTCTTTTCAGCTATCCTGTGTGTTGGATATTATACTACTGTATATATTGAATTTGCAAATGCAGTTTGGATACACTGAAATGTAAGGATGTTCTTCATTCAGTGAGTCATTTAGATGATTGAATTGAATCCTAAATATGTCTGGTAATTATATATAAATTTCATATTTAATGAAAAATATTGGACTAAATTATTATCTAAATATTTTATGCAGGGACTATATTATCTTCACAGTAAAGGAAAAATGCACAGAGATATAAAGGTAAGTAAAACAAGAGAATTTTGGTGGTTTTTAAATAGGCTACATCACCTTTGATGAGTCTTTACTGTTACTTGTCAATTTTGGGAATATTTTAAAATATGTAGGGTTTTTCTATCTATTAGAATAAAACAAAATTTTCTGCACAGTGGAAGGAAAAAAGACCCCTTTCTCCAATAGTTTGTTCTTTTAATTGAAGCCAAACATACTATTTATTTAGACGTGCTGTCTAAATAATGTCTTAGATATCAGCTGGTGTCCAGAACAGCGTGTGTTCAGGTGGCTGTAAGGGCGTGCTCTGCACAAGAGGAAAGGTTTGGTCTTTCCCACACCTTTCCAGGAAGCTTGATGTTCAGAGCTTCTCTGTGAACCAGCAGGCGAGCAGAGCTGCTGCTTTGGCTCCGTGCTGCTTTTCTTGGTGAGCATATTGCAGGGCAGCGGCTGCTGTTCTGCATGGATCTTGGAGGCTACTTCTGTCTCCTCCCTCGCATGCTAAAGTTAGAGAGGGCATCGCAAATCAGGCTATTAACACTGCCTTATTTAAACCTTCGCTTCAACACAGCTGTTTCAAAGGTGGCTTGTTCAGACTCTTACACTCTCTGTTATAGTTTCCTTCTGGTGCTTCCTGTTGACTTTTTGTCCCTGGAGTTTTACAACCTCCTCTTTGCCTTTCCAAACTCTTCCTTGCTCAGACTGTGGCTTAAACTTGGCAGGCTTCCTCCTGGAAATGTGACAGTAAATGATCATATTCCTTTGTGCTGTGTAGGGGGTTGGTTTTGTTTGGTTTCAGTCTTCAGATCAGGTTTTGGGTTGTCTTTTTTCAGACTAGGGATGCAGGGTAGATAGTAGCTTCAACTGCAGATGCCTTAATGGAGCTTGATTCCAAGTTGTTCTCGTTGACTGCAGAAGGATACTTGGGTTTTGAGCAATCGCGAAAATAATTTCTGAATGAAATTATTTGGATGCAGCATTTAAACGTTTTCATTATACTTTATAGAATGCAAAATGATGCTTGGAAGGGTACGGTGCATATATACGTATTTCTAAACAGAACAGTGGTGATAAAAAATGCTTACAGTGCTTCTGTTGAGATTTTTTTTTTTTTTAAAGCTGTTCTCATGAGCATGGAAAAATACTGTCTTCATCTGCAGGTCTCCTGACTGTTGGATTCTGTTTGCTTCCCTCAGTAGCTAAGTTATGTATTTAGAGTATCTGTCCTGTTAGTCTTGAAAGGTGAACGAGGTCAAGAGCATGTTAACATGTCACACTATTTACCAAGCTCCATTTATAATGCTCATTGACTGTATTTGTGTAACATTTGCCAAGGTAAGCTGCATTTTACTGGAGGCCTGACTTTTCCTTCTGTGGGAAAAGCCATAATCTGTTAAAATACAGTTTTTTGGAAGCCTGTTTTCTGTGCTGCCTTTCTGTCTGGTTTATGGACAGTGTTGACATTTGGAGCTGTGTTTAGCCAGCTCCAGCCTTCACTCAACTCAACCTGTACCTGGTTTCAGTCTTCAGATCAGGTTAGTTGCAGTGCTCTTATATTGTATTTTTTGGTACTAGCTACCGCTTCTGGTACTACAATAGTTTTGACTTCAGTAGTCAAAACTAGACTATTGAACTGAAGCAAGTGGTGCATATAACCATGTAACAGTGAATTCTTCAAATGCAGCACTAACAGAATCTTCATTGTATAAGAACGGAGATAGTTTTGCTAAACACTTGAATATCAAGGCAGATCCTTAAGGCTATAATTATGAGACTGAAACAAGACAAAACCAGCTTCAACATATGAAAAGAAAATCAAATTACTTCCACTTTGACCTTTAGAGTTCCTATTTCCTTTCAGTCAGTGTAAATAGAAAAAAGTAAGAATTCATCAGTGTAGGCAAATCATTGTAGCCTGCTTTTTGAGAGGGTTTTGTGTACAATGGAAATTCTGTAGTACCATAGGCTAAAGAGTACTAAAATTAAGAATTAATGAGGAACCCTGTATAGAATCCTAGAATGGTTTGGGTTGGAAGAGACCTTAAAGATCATCCAGTCCAACCCCCTGCCATGGGCAGGGACACCTCCCACCAGACCAGGTTGCCCAAAGCCCTGTCCAACCTGGCCTTGAACACTTCAGGGAGGGGGCATCCACAGCTTCCCTGGGCAACCTGTGCCAGTGTCTCACCACCCTCACAGTAAAGAATTTCTTCCCAATATCTAGTCTAAATCTACACTTTCTCAATTTAAAATTGTTACCCCTTGTCCTATTGCTACCTGCCCTGATAAAGAGTCCCTCCCCATCTCTCCTGTAGACCCTGTATGTCTGAGTTTCTTTATATAACAGAACAGCAACTTGCTACTTTCACATACATTCCTTTGGTAAGGCTGCAGATTTCTTGAACGCAGAATCCTTGCTTTGTCTGTGGCCTGTAGTTTGCCATAAGTTCTCGCATAAATTTTTTAAAGTGTGGTATCGGAGGAATCTGCGTGTTTTAATTAAAGTATGCTTACTTTTTTTTTAAGGGAGCAAACATTCTTTTAACTGATAATGGACATGTAAAATTAGGTGAGTCAATACAATTTCGTGTTATTACAATTTTTATGTGTTTTAAGAAGCAGTCCTCTGTCATTTATTTAATGATGTAATGGTTCATGTAAGGAATTTGTGAATATCAGAATTCTTTTCCTCTTGGTGGTAATATCTAATCGCAGCATCCAGTTAGTGTCTGAGGAGTAATTGGAGTAGTTTTAGACCACTGAGACATTTCGATGTTGTAAGAGGGAGGTAAAAATCAAATCAGTTTTTTTACAGATTTTTAATAAAATGTACCATCCAGAGTATTCAAGTGTGAAATGTACCTTAAAAGGCTGTCTCTAGGATATTACTAAACGATGTGTTTTATCATATTAAAACACTGGACGTAACTTCTGTGCTAGCCTGTTCTTTCTTGTGTTAGTGAAGATCATGTTTGTGCGCAGCCTGCATATTTGGCAGGTGACTGAGAGGAGCTGACCGATAGTATCTGAGGCACACCAAGTTTCCATTATTTGTTTGTGTTATTTATTTTGTGTTAAATATTTCCAGTATATTTAAGATACTCTTACTGTGGGGAAACCAAACTTGTGTTCATTAACAATTAATTGCTTCAAATCAGTTATTAACTGTCATTTTGGTTTTGCGCTTTTTTTTTAATAGCTGACTTTGGAGTATCTGCACAGATAACAGCTACAATTGCCAAAAGGAAGTCATTCATTGGCACCCCATACTGGTAACTGTGTTTTACTTGGCCATTAATATAATAGTAACATACATAATACTGTTGAAAAATGGTGATAAAAGCATGCTGTGTCACTTTCTGGGTAGACTAATCACTAAAGTCTGTGTTAAACTTTCTGGTGGTCATATCTGTGTTACTTATGCTAAATCCTGAATTAGCTGAGTATCCGAGAAAATGCCCTAATGGTCTGAAAAATTGAAAGGCTCTCCGTGTGCTGCTATCACTGCTGACTGATGTATGTCAATCAGTAAACTTAAAAACTATCAACACTTTTTTCTAAAGTCTGGCATTTTTGTAGTGGAAGTGGTTGTTCCCTTTTGCCTTGAAATAAGTGACACGAATTCTTCACTGTAAAATAGCACTTTTGTTGTATTCTTCCCAGAACGGTATTTAAAATTCTGTTTGACAGTGCAGTAGCTATGATATAAAAATGTATATAATGAAAAAAGCCCTACATTCAAATATTCAGTCTAGAAATAGCCAAGCACAGCATTTTTAGCATTTTTCTGCAGTGTAAGTCACGCCAAGGCATGGATCGCTTCCCTTTCAGAGGAACACAAACACTCATCAGTCATGACTGTGTAACCGGATTGTGTCTCTCTTTTTCCTAAGATGTCTGGGTGACTTTAGTCCTGGCCTTTTTCACTGTGTGGCTTCCAGATTGTACCAGGCTTCTCAAATGATGTGTCATAACCCTAAACAATAACTTTGGAAGCATTACATAGGTTAAATGCTGATGAAAAGCATTGTTTTTTGTCACAAAGCTACTCAGAGATTTGCAAGGAAACGTAATTGTTGACGTCATGGAGAAGAAAGTTTATTTAGAAACAGGCAATGTGAAAGTTTCTAGTGATCATTAGAGGTGTCTGGGCAGGTAAGGCTATGGTGCTCAGATGGGAGAGAAACGAAGGGCAGAACTGCTAAGCAGTGTCTTTAGTTCTCTTAACCCTGCTGTTTACCCTTGTGCTCCTCCTCCATGTGTTTCTAAAGTTAATCTATGTTCCCTGTTTACCTTCGTAACGCTCTCAATTTTGGAGTGATTATGTTTTTTTTATGAACTCTTGAATAAATTTATATAATATAGTTTAGCTGTGCAAACTTGAAATAAGTTGTACCACCAAACCTGATGATGTTTTCAGATCTACAGATAAGGATGTCTGTGTCTAAATAATACATCATTTGAGATGCTTCCCTCTGTTTTATTTTACTGGAGCGCTCATTAAGTGATGTTCTTCTGTATTACCTATATTGAGTTACATTTCCAGTTCCACTGCTACTTTTTAAGTGGTCTGGACAAATGAAGTTCAAAGCTAAAAAACATTAATGTGTTTGCTGTCTGATATGGCTGTGTAGGACAGTTAAATCCATAATTCACTCTGGCCATTAAAAATATGTATGCCTAGTGAATCACTTCCTTTAGGTAGTCCTATTTATGTGCCAGTTGTATTTGTTAATTTTTGCCACCTGAGGGTATGAAATTACTTTAACCTAAATGGGGTCTTCTGACATTACAGTGAGGCAGACTTTACAAACAGAGTGCTCTGTGCAGAGGTGTCAGTGAGTCTTCAGGTCTCATGCTTTCAGAATACAAGAAAGCTGACATTTTGTTACTTTTTTTTCTTGTAAGAAAGTCAGTTGGTCACTCCCTGGGGCATTTGTGAATTTAGATATTACTTGGATTTTACTGTAATTGAACAATTGTACCTTAGGCTCTTTGGTTGTTGAGTGGTAGTTTATGTGCCTGCAAAAAAGAGAGACAGATTGGTTTCATCCACTTACTGCTAAATGGCTGTTTTGGAAGCTGCTTATTAGTTACTAGAAGGTGATTGAATTAAACTTCATGCATACATTGCATAACTTTTTACACATGCACTCACACGTGTGTGTATATATTTGCACCTGTAAGCTCAATGCATATACATTTATACAGATTGAGAGCTTTAGGGAAAAGAGTAGCAAACTGCTGTGTACAGCAGAATGTTTGACTTGTGGCAAAAAGTTTATTCAAAATGTCTTTTACCCCTTAGGATGGCGCCAGAAGTTGCTGCAGTAGAAAGAAAAGGTGGCTATAACCAACTCTGTGATCTGTGGGCAGTTGGAATAACTGCTATAGAGCTTGCTGAACTTCAGCCTCCAATGTTTGACCTACATCCAATGAGGTTGGTAAGAGGTTAAAGCTTGGTGTGTAAACACAGCTTGGTAAATGATTTGGAGTAAATCCATTTGGAGAAGTGGTTTCATGTGCTTGTGGTGTCTGGGGGTACTGCAGGGTTATTGGATTGTAAGTGTTCTAAATGTACATTATAGAAATTGTAACAACTCTTTCTGATGCATAAATCTGTGATGTTGTTGTGGTAGCATCTTTAAACTGATGGACTTCTTCCTGGCAACTAAGTAATGTATTTAATAATTCATCCCATATAGGCATTGCAATGTAAACAGGAAAAATACTGTTGGTTTTTTTTCAGAGCACTTTTTCTAATGACGAAAAGCAACTTCCAGCCTCCTAAATTAAAGGACAAAATGAAATGGTAAGGACTTTTCTGTTTCATTAGGTAATAATAATGTATTTCACTGGGCAATTGATTCTAATGTTTACTACTTCATGTTACAGGTCCAATAGTTTCCATCATTTTGTGAAAATGGCACTTACAAAAAATCCTAAAAAAAGACCTACAGCTGAAAAGTTACTACAGGTATAAATTTATGTATGGGATTTTTTTTTAAGTTATAAAATTAAAATATACTTAATATAAGTGGTTGGAATTTTAATATGTGTTTTTCCTTCTGTCTTTCAGCATCCTTTTGTTACGCAGCCATTAAATCGAAGTCTTGCTATTGAACTTTTAGATAAAATGAATAATCCTGATCATTCCACTTACCATGATTTTGATGATGATGATCCTGAGGTAGGAATATGTTTTAATCATGGAATCAGATTTTGTTTGCTGACAAAACTAAATTATTTTGACGACTTGAGCCACAGAAGTTTTGTGATTTGGGAATAGTCTCAAGGGTTACTTTTACTTTTGGTTGTTCTGCTCTGTCACATATACAGGCACTTAGCAAAATTAATTATATTTGAGGAAGAGAAGTTCAAAGAGAAAGAGATGTAAACACTTCAAAAATTTTTGTTTATTGTTGTTCTTCAACAATTTTGCAATAGTAAATGTGGACTCCTTCTCCAGTCCTGATTTCTGTTATGCATTCTACTTTCTGTTTCTCTGTGGAATTATGTTACTATTCATCTGCAAAGAAAACATCCATAAAATAATTTTATACCTCTGTAGATCTTTTGTTCCTAGTTTACGGTCTTGTGAGGAGAATGATCTTGTAGTTGTTTTTGTCAAATGGTTTGTATTTCTTGCAGATTTTCTGTCTTAGAATGCTCTGAAACTTGATTTAACTTCTGGTTTTGTCAAAGGCAAAGTTTCTGATTTTCTGCTTTAACAGCTGGAAAAAAAATAGCATGCTTATGTGAGGTGATAAACAGTGCAGGACTGAAGTGTTCATAAATAAAAGAAAGCAGATACTCTGTTGCTGTGTCCTGTCTTCGTACTTAACTCTATGTTAGTAAAGATTTTCCAAATGTTTACAGCTCCCTAACTGATGATCTCTTTTTGCGAAAAAAAAAGTTAATCCTTTCACCACAAATGCCGTGCATTCATTAATTGCATACTTGTGTTTTACTTATTTTTGTATAAACTAGTCATTAAAAAAATGCCTTCAGAGGGAAATAAGCTTAAAAGAAGTGACTACTTTAAGATACTAATTTTCAGATTTTACAAGTGAAATGGGCTTTTGCCTTCTGGAACAGCAAAGACAAGGTGACATCCACCAAGTCTGTCTTCCTTAGAAGCTGGTATAAGGAAATATGGAAAGTAGCCAAAGTGAAATAGATATTTTTTGTATTCTGGAATGCAATGTTTATGTATCTCCTAAATGGGAGAGAGGGAGAGGAAGGCAGAAGGATTGAATCATCAGTAATTTTAAAAGCAATTGCAAATAGTGGAGCACACTTAGTAAATTTTTCTGTAGAAGAAAAAATATTTAGGGAAGTTAAACACACAGGAAGACTCTTAATGTAGTTGATGTTCACATCAGTGTTGAGAGTGGTGTCTGATTCCTGCTAAGCAGTGAGGAGCTTGGATCTTCTCACCATAAGCTTTAAGGATCAGGTATCCTTTAGTTCTCTGTTCAATGATAACAGAGTTCTGAGGCCCGTTAAAGCGATATTTCTGTAGAGACCAGAAAATCAAGGCTTTCATGAGCTGTCATAAGAAGAAAGGTAGCTGTTTTCAGTGTGCTTCCTGTGAGTGAACTGCTCAGATCAGAGTAGCTTGTGTTGCAAGTCTTCCCTGCTTTCCTGGAAATTGTACCAAAACCCTAATGTGACGTTCCCTCATGTCACTGGTGTATCTTTTCAGTAAGAATCTTGACCTTCATTTTGGGCCACTCAGGTGGAGAATCTCTTCTCTTTCAGATGTTAGTTCACTTGTTGTTTATCTTATGTTGCTGAGGGTTTCCTGTCACATTTGCAGGCTTCTGTGCTAGGCATAACGATGCTTCTTCATCATTGTTTGTTACTTAGCCTCGAGCTCTCCAATGAGCTTCAAACACCGATACCTGCTGGTGCTGGATCATTTTCATTGGTTAGGCAACTGCTGAGGCTTAAGTCCAGCAGGTAACTTAATACCACCATGCATTTGCTCACTCACTTCTCTCCCTGCCCTCCCCCCCCCAGGGGAGTGAGGAGAAGAAAAATATAACAAACAGACTGTGAGTCGAACCGAAGGACAGGCATTTGTGTCAGGAAGTTAACCTGCATTCTTTTGTCCTCTTGCACAGCTCATTTGTCAGCTGTTTGTATCAGTTTTCTGACAGCGTAGGTCTTTCAAGGTGACTTGAGGACTTTGTCCTCATGACCGCAAAATGAGGATTTGACTCTTCCCAGTAATTCTGTGGTCACAGAGAAGGAGATGTAAGGGTGGGCTCTGCCTGTTGTGCAGTACAAACAACTGTGGTAGGACACAAGGAACTCGCACAGTATTACTGCAAAGGCAAAACCACCTCTCACTCCCACTGCTGTTGAGCTCTTAGTGCTGGAATCACAGATGTGCTCACATCATGTGCAAGTGGGCAATGCCTCTTAACAAAATATTATAAATGAGCGATGTTTCAGCACTTGGAGTGTTTGAAATACTGAAGTAGAAAACCTGATCAAACCTTGAAACACATCCTGAGCTACAGTGAACTGCTTTTAGAGCTCAAAACAATGCACAATAGACAAACCAGAACTGAGGAAGGAGAGGATTTGCATAAGTTACAAGAGAGAAAAAACTGCCTGTTAGGTATGTGGGAAAAATTACATACCCACAGTCTCTTTCCAGTTTCAGTGAAGACTAAAATGAACATTAATGGGAGGTGAAACACTGTGTATGTATGTATTGGGCCCTAACATAAAGCAAGGAAGTAGTGTGTGATGAAAAGGGGACAAGGGAAGCTATGTTTTTGGATAATGTTTGAGACGTGAACAGAATTACTGAGCTATTTATCGTACTTTGTGATAGTATAGTGGTTAAAGTTGTCTGACTGTCATTACTTGCCAAGTGAAGATAATAACTAGTTTATATTAAAGCAAAGTTAACATACCAGCATACCAAATTTCTGACTCTATAGCATCAGATTGCTTTAATTAAAAATTGTTTTCTGCCACATATTCAACATAGAAGCATAGCAAGCATGCACTTTTCAGAGATGAGTTGGGCTAACATCATGGAGAATGAACTTGTTTTATACATAAAGAATAAGATTTCATTGTAGAGGAAATGCTGTGAGCACCCTTATGATTTATGTTGCTAATTTGGGGGCCTGATTGTATACAGCCATCAGCTGATCTTGTACTTGGGTTAAGAAACCTTAAGTTATAGTTTCTAAGAGAACCTGCAGTAGTGGATATAGAGAGAAGAGGGAAAATCCTATAGGCACAGTGAAAAGAAAGCCAAGTCTTAAAGTTCATGACACTCATGCTGTAAAGAAGTATCTTGAAATCCAGGGAAAAGAGAAGTGGAACATAAATATGAAGGTGAATTTGTGGAAATGATGGCATTGCTCTTGCCACACAGCACAAGAGTATGAGGAATTCTCCCTTGTGTTCAGCCTAACCTCAGGCTAACTTTTCACCTACTTAAAGAAACTTAACTGATGACTTCTTAGGAATCAGTTTAGGTTAAAAGCTGGGAAAATGATTGGGGTATCTAAACAGAGGAAATGCTGGCAGTAAGTCAGATTTAGACTTGCTGCATATTTTGGAAACTACCAATATCCTTAAGCTGAAAGGCACAAAAACGAAATGGTATCTGAACAAAGACAAATGCTGGCCACCATTGTCTTTATTTGCTCAAATCTAGTGTTTTAAAAACCCTTGTCTTTAAGTTGAAGAAAGTCTACAGATAAAATGTCTCCAAATAATTTAACTTTAATGTACAGAAATATGCGTGCAGTCTTTATTTTTAGCTTCCATTTGATTTCTTCCTTTCTTTTTTGATATTATGCTAAATAAACCTGCTAAAAACTAGGTACACAATACTGGGTTTCAAGTGAGCATGCTTCGGTATTGAAGTATTTTATTTTTCTCTTCTAGCCTCTCCTAGTGCCTCATAGAATTCATTCAACAAGCAGAAATGTGAGAGAAGAAAAGACACGCTCTGAAATAAACTGTAAGCATGTATTATATGACAGCATGAAATACTCTTAAAATAATCATTGATACTTACTTCAACCAGTATTCTGGATATCTGACATTCATAGAAACATTTTTAGTGGTATACAGGAAAGTAAAAATGTATGTTGTTTCACTTACAGATATAGGTTCTAGATGTATATGCAAAAGAAATATTAGTGCAAAATGCACCCTTTGTCAGAACTTCTGCAAATTTCTGTATTGCTTCATCTTGATTAAATAAAATGCAACCTGAGCTCTTCTGAGAGCTGTATGGTATAGCTTCATATGCTGCTCAGCAAGGATATTCTGAATGATGCCAGATTCTGCTGGGTAACAGAATGGCAGTGGGAGATTTTTTTATTTCTTAATGTATTTTCTTCCTTAATGTAGTATTTTTTTGTTATTTTTCCCTTTGAATTCAAGCAGTCATGTAGAAGTCAGGAAAGGAGAAGGTTGATCATTGGCCATTAAGAGTAGATTCCATCCCCCAGATAGGAGTAACTTTTTTTTTTATTAAATCAGAGCAATGCTTGGAGTTTTAGTTGTCTTTTCTTAACCTAAATTGAGGGGAGGGGTGTTGGGAGTATTGGCCAAAGAGCTGTCCTAGAAGATGGGATTATCTCTCTCCAGACTTCATTCAAAGCCTTTTTGTGCTACTGAATCTCCCAGAAGAACAGATCCAAGAGTGAATTCACACAATGGATCTGGGGGTTTTTTCTATAAATTACAACTGTATTGCTCCTCTAAAGAGGGCATTTCACTGCCCTATGTGCTGAGTCGTTTTCCTGATCCTTCTGATGAGTACTTAGGGCAAATGATGGTTGTGCTCTAACTGTGATAGAAGAGTACTTTCTGTGTCCATTCGTTTTGAGCAGGCACAGGTTCGGTCTGTGCATGTGTTAAAAGTTTCCATCAGTGGGGGATGAGATACACTCATTAAACTGGATTTTTCTTTTTTGTTAGCCTTAGAAGCTAAACTTTGTCTAACTACAATTTAACTTAAGTTCTTTTATTCCTTTTCTCCTCTTTAGTTGGTCAAGTAAAATTTGATCCACCCTTGAGGAAAGAGACAGAGCCACATCATGAATTTGTGAGTAACATGCAGCATGGCTTATGCTCTCCACATTATTCCCTGCAAATGTCTGGAGAAGGAGAAATCCAAGATGTGTAGCATGCTTCCTTAGCACTACTAAACTTGACAGTGGTTTTTCTGATAAGTCTTAACATATATTAGTCCTGAATTTTCTGGTGCCATTACACTATATGCAGCAAGACTCCTTATTTGTGGGCTTTGCCAGGTGTAATGTATGGGCTAAGCAACAACCCTTTGTTTTGTGTATTTCCTCTATCTTTTGTGCCTTGTTTCCAAGTATATAATTCAGTGTATTTATAGTTAATTTTTATTTGTGTAATTACTGTGTGTACAGTGACTGATAATAATAAAATTGAGAGCCTGAGAAAGAGCTGTGATGCATTTTGAAAAATTGAATTTTTGTGGGGTTATTTTCCCACACAAACAATCTTTCTGTGGCCCTGCATCACACCTGAGCTGTGCCGAGTCTGGCAGTTGACATATTCTGTAAAGGTGTTTTGCCAATGTTTTCTTCCTATGCTGTCTCTCACGTGATTGCAGTCGGTTCCTCTCTTCTCTCTGGAGGCTGTTGCTTTCCACATTAGTGCACTTGGGCAGTTTCCTCACTTTCCTGGATTAAAAAACGATGCTCCTTTGCTTCCTTACTGTAGACTTATGTGTTACCTTTGTTTTTAGGTGCTAAGGTGGAAAAGTTGGCTTAGTACATAGATGGGAGGGCCTTTGCTCTGAGTTGGTTCTGGGAAGGGTGTATACCTGGAATGTACTTTCTTTTCCGTAGTCTACAAACCACATGAGTGGGATTTCTGATGCAGATTTCCTTGTACTGCTCTGTAGTTGTAATAAAATCTCCTGACTGGTGCCTTGTCCTTTGATAGCGGGTCAGCTGGCTCTGGGTGTATGAGGTTGTGTTTAGTCTGTCTTCCTCAGCAACTGGCTGGACAGGTAGTCAGCAGTTTCTGGTGCCTGTTCGAGATTGAAGAGAACAGCTTACAAAATCACACATAAGACTTATGTCAAGGTCTAAATAACATGTCTGAAATAATTGCTTAATTGCATAACAGCATCATTTAGGAGCCCTGGTTATATAAGTGTTTATTAAATATGGTAATGAAGTCAGTGTTTCTACCACATACTCATAAGTTTACTCAAAATTACTTTTGAACTGATTCCAAATTATCCTGTCTTTACTGCCCTGTTGCATTTTCTGGATTATAAAGAAAATACAATTGCTAGCATCATATATTTCAAATTTTAATGCTTTTGCTCGTTAAGAATTTTGTTTATACACAGAATCATAATTTCAAAAAGATGTTAATGAAGAAGCTGACGTTTTAAAAATACTTCTTCCATTTCTTTCTTGTTTTTTCAGTCACTGAGTATACAAACCAGTTAGCGGACAACTTCATGGGTTGTGTTTTCATTGCACTGTGGGAACCTGAGTTGCTAAAGTGGGGAAAGAGATTTTCTGTAGGGATTATAGCACAACTTTTGAGAGCACTTTATTGGCAGATGTTGTTGAAAGGGAGAAATTGACCTTTTTCCTATCTTGTGCATTTACTGATCACTTTGCACTTTAGCATCTCAGAAGCTCATGCTGCTCCAAGAAGGGACTTGAGCAATCCAGATGAGTTCTGCTGATAAGGAAATATCTTAGTATTGTCCATTCCTGTCAGCGTTTGCATATTTGAAACCTGTCCAAAGAACTTGCCTCATCTCCCTGTCTATGAGGAAGATCCATAAGTGTTTGTTTGGGTCTTCCTGAAGAGAGCAATTAACTGCTCCACTGCATATATCTGAGTGAAGCATGCAGACTTGATCTGTCCTTTCCAGATAAAACAGAACTATGACTTTGAAAATGATGATGCTGGGTCTACAGACCAAAAAAACCCTATATTTTGTCATTAGATATAGAACCAATGGACAACTTAGATTGATATGTTAACTGCAAACTAGAGATGTATTCAGAGCATGGGTGCTCTAGCAAAGAGCCTTAGCACAGAGCTGGCTGAGGAAGAAGTTTGTAATAACCCACCCACTCTAGGAGAGAAACTGTTTTAGGTGGAAGTAGGAGCAAGAGATACCTGTCTCTCCCTCCAGCAATAACAGTGTGGATCCCTTTTCGTTAAAGCAGTTGTGACCTTTTTGCTTCTGTCTCACTAAAGCATGCTTATACTTTATGCTTGTTTACTTACACGTATGAGTGCACAAGCCAAAGGGCTGGACCACTGCAGCATGATGAGATATTGTTGGTGCTGCACTGAGATGTTGAACTGGTACATACTTGTCTCTTACTGGGGCAGTTTGTCGCTTATTACCACAGCTCAGGTGATGATTTTGGTGTGATTTGGTAGTGTTTGGTAGTGTGACTGTGCCCTTAACTGTGTTTTACCCCCATCTGCAAAACTGTTTTAGCATGGTTTGAGTTTCAACTAACTTTTTTTTTTTTGTAAGAAAGTTTCCCTTTATGTATGCTTGGCTTTCAGTCACAATGTAAATAACTTGAGTTTCTTGATCTCTATTTAATGAACAGCCTGACAGTAGCGATTTTTTGGACAATTCAGAAGAAATATACTACACTGCAAGATCTAACCTGGTATTTCTCATCTTATGCCTTTCTTTGTCAGTGTTAGTTTTGTCTTTGTTTTCCTTTTGCAAAGCTCGTGTTTTGTCCTGTTGTTGTTCTGGTGTTGTACTGGTGTTTTCATCTGTGTAAAAGCCATTAAGTATAAGGATTTGTCTATATTTGTATTTCTATAACGTAGGAAGGAATTTTTAGTATGTGCAGTATTGAAAGTATTTAACTTTGTATTTGTGTTTAGTTGAATCGCTTTTAGAGAAGGGGCTCAGTGTTACGCGTTCATTCCAATTATTTATGAATAACTTGTTAATTTTTTGGAGGGTGGTTAAGAATGGAAGAGACATTCTCTTCATATTTTTGTCTGGTAGTTCCTTTGCATAGTCTCATGTTAGACTATAAAATTACATAAATGTAAGTATTTCAATTCTCCAGATGGTAATTATGTTAGAGAATGAACATATACTTAATACAAATAACAGAAAATGGGGTCATAAGTGTTTTCAATACAATTGGCATCGTTTGTAGTCTGATACATTTTCCAAATTTTCTCTTACTACACTGCTAAAAAACTTGCTTTGTCGTATTGCAGTGTAGAAATTATTTCAGACAGTGAGTTTTCTTATTTCTCTGCTTTTTAGGCACTATGTAGTTATAAAAATAACGTTTTTAAATCTTGGCCATCTTCATATACTGTTGAAAAAAATGAAGAAACATTCTGTACTAGATGAAGAACAATATTCTGTTAACTTTCTTTGATTTGTGAGATGTTTAATGTAAGTGCACTGAGGGAAAAATGGAAAACTGGGTTGTTTGGGAATGTCTTTTTTTTTTGAATGTGATGTTTTTTGTTTTGTTTTTTTTTGTTTGTTTTGGCATCAGTTGGCTTGGTGTGACTTGAATCTGCCAATACTGTGGTTAGTTAGAGCTTAAACTGTCTTCTCCATTCTTGGAAGGAACTTCCTGTATTGCTTGATTATAAAAATGCTTCACAAATTGTTCTGAGATCAGTAGTCAAAATTTCTGTGTGCAATGGGAACACCTCTGTCCTGTGCAATTGCTCTGGTTTTGGAAGTGCGGTTTTGGCTTTTTGGTTTGCTTTGCTTTTGGTTTCATCTTTTCAGTTTAATGCTTTTTAAAATCTGTCTTTTTCAGGTTACTTTCAGTGTTGTCACACAACTTGCTAGCCAGTACCTGTGGGCCTAAGGGATGCATGAGGACATGTCTCCTAACTGGACTGTCCTGTCCCATCCTCCTTTTGCCCCGTGCTGTTCAGTACACTTTTCAAAAATTATTACTCTCATAAAGCTTATAAAAAGTACTGTTGTCACAATCAGGAGATGATTTTTAAAGTCAGTTGACAGCACTTTCTGTGTTTCACTGCTTTCTTCACAATCAATCAAAGGGGAAAATTCTGATTTGGTAGTAATGCTTCACCCATTTGTGAGATTTTTCCAGTAAGACCTAATCCTTCTGGAAGTTAGAAGAAATAGTTAGTTTGTTCATTCTTCTGTTGTGGACCAGGACATACTGATCAGTCTGCTCTGACAGTGTTGGCTTCAGATATGTTCAGTGAGAAGTGATCTGTGGATTTTTCAAATTCCATAAAGAGGAAAAAAATCATGCTTTGTCACAAGCACAATATATCACCTACTGCTATTGGCCTCTTTCCACATGCTGTTCTACTGATATTATAAAATACCTTACGGGCAACAACAGTGCTGCAGAGCTGTGTGTTACTAAGTTGCTAAAATAAAAACAAAAAACTCCAACAAACAAACACAAATCAGAAATTGAGGCATATTTTGGGCAGCTTGAGTCATAAAAGGTGAGTTGAGGTTGAAAGCAATTTTGGGGAGTGAGAGAAAGTATTTTTATCTATCATGTAGTATTTTGCACAGCTGGGCAGATAATATGGCAACTTGTGCAATGGCCGTGCACATTACCTTTTAAAAATTTGATACCTGTGATGTGGTTACCCTTAAAAATCATTTATCTCCTCTTCCCCTTCCCTTCACTTCAGCTACCTGGATCTGCCAGAAAAATGGAGAAATTCAGTACAGGTCTTGTTTGCAGGGAGAATTCAGTGTCCAAAACCCAGTACTTCTCTTTGATCTTCTACAGAGATACCCCTTTGATTCCTGTCTAAATAAGTAACATAGTATTTTGCTTTAGGTACGAGGCTCCTCTTCTTTTTTTTCCAGGATAAATATTTTTTAACTTTTCTGCAACTGGACAGTACATTTCTCAGGAACTTATTTGAGTACTTTCTAGTGTGTTAATTTTTTTTACATACACTAGCTCCTTCCTGTGATTTTGAGTTACTCATGTTCCTATTCTGGTCATTGTGCTGTGTTTTGGCAGCTGTTTTCTGACCGTCTCCTATGTCTCAGGAGCAGCAGAGGTGTGCTGGACTCTAAAAATAATAATTAAAAAAAAGTCTTGTCTTAGGTGCAGATTAGACTTTGCATAGGGTAGACCTCAAATGCTTCTCTCATGTTTTTCACTGTCTTTCTGTGTATTTTAAAGGCAATTGTTTGGATGCAGACCCATAGAAGTGAAAGTGCTGGGCATTGCATTTGCAGTGAGCTCAGTAAGTGGTTTAAATCAAAGTAATTACCTCTAAAAATATGTGCACCTTTGTTCTAGAAGTATTTTTTAAGTTTTATGCTGGTGATCTTGGGAGAAGCACCTGAAAATCCAAAGGCTAACTAAATTTATGACTGTTCATCTTGCATTGCAACAGACATCACAATGACAGTTTAGGGAACCTATATGAGTTGGCAAAGTAGGACTAAATTTGTCAGTTGAAATGTTTTTGCTATAATTAAGCATATGTGCAGAAGCAGTCCCAAGTACATGACACGCTGAGGAAAAATGTGCAACTTCTTTCAGGTTATTTTTTCCACCAAGGTCAATTCCCCATTCGGGTTCCCTGTGTGTCTTTGCAAATGGCTGTTTTGGTGTGGTGGAGGGAGGTGCATGGGGTAGAGAGAAATCAGGAGTAAAGGCGGTTAAAATCAGCTTCTGCGGAGCTGTTGCTGTATGTGTAACTGCATCTACCCCTCAGGGGTGATGTGTTGCATTTATGAGTGGTGGGGTCTGTCAAAGGGAATCTGTACCAGAATTTGTCTTCTGGTCCCAGAAGTTCTGTTTCTCAGAAATACTCTTCTGATTCAAAACAGAAGGTCACGTTGAGCAAATGAAAGGATTTTCATTTGGGTTATTCAGATCTACAATGAAATATCCTGGCAAAAAAAAAAGTCTTTCTTCCCTTTCATGGTGAGCTGAAAAATAATTCCAGTTCATCCATGGTAGACTGAGCTGCATACCACCTGCTCCATCACCTGAACAATCTTAGTGGCCTTCTGCTGGCCTCCGTCCAATCTGTCAGCATCTTTGCCCTGGGAAGCCGAGAAATGGACACCACGTGCAGATGTGGCCTTCCAAATGCCAAATAGAGGTGGTAACCCCCTCTGGTTTCACTACCATTGGCCAGCTATACCACACGTATGTGCCCCTGATGCGTAGTTCCCTCCTTGTCTGCTGGGACCTTCAAGCCCTTTTCTGCAGAGTGGTCTCGTAATAATGTTGGCTGACTACCTCAGCACCTTGGATGCATTCAACCTGGTCATATCTGCATCATATTAACTGTATACACTATATGTATACACTATAGCTAGTGATTGATTTTTTTTTCTTTGTATTGGGGGAAAAATTAAATGTTTCTGCATTGGGCTTTACTTAATTTAGCCTGGAGTAGTCAACACACAGTGAAAACTGTTGAATTCTGTTGTTTTAAAAAGTAACAGGAGAATTGGACAGAATTGGGATTTGATACCTCAGGTTCCAACTTACAGTTGTCTTCAATTGTTTTTGCAGATTTCTTTAGCAAAGAATTAATTAAGAAGTTTGAGTTACCGTGCAGTCTCGATTGTTGTATTTGCCAGATGCATTTATACATTTGGTCCTATTTAAATAATATGGGCATGGTTGTTTTTTTGTTTCGGCTTATAAATTTATTCTGGGTTTAATAATTTGTAATAGCTTTTGGTGATACTTGATTTTAGGAATGAAATGTCTCAGCATAGCTATTTTGTGTCAGTTAATTATTTGTGGCAGAAAATCTAAAATATGGGTAGGAAAAGACTGAATTAGAGAGATCGATACAGATAATACAGAACATTGCCCAGAAGCCTTTTTCTTTTGTGTAAGTCGTTTTTCTCCTTGCTGCACATGCATCCATATGCTTTTCCTTTGTTACAAGCCATGAAGACTCCTATCCTACTTAGTTCCAATATGCTTTTAGAGTTATGTTAGCTACCAACACTGAATTGCAGCGTCTTCATAGATTGTTCACCTTTAGGTAATGAAATGGTGAATGGTCCTTTTGATCAGAAAAAAATTAGTGGAAATGGGGGGAAAAGTGCCTAAAGGGTTCGGGATGTGGTTTTTGCTCTTTCTTTTCCTTCCTTCTATGTTTTGGGTATTTTCTGCCTTGGCAAAAGTAAGTGAGAAAAGGAAATGTTCACTTTTGTTGCTAGGAGGCAGTTTTAAAACGTGGCACACAATTGACCATTGCATTGAAGCCCTACAGATCAAATTAGAACATAAGTCTGTCAAAGTTACAGTAACAATTAATTCATCACAAAATTCTGCAGAGAATAAATAGCAAGTTTTGAAGTTTAAACTGCAGAAGGTATTGTAGATTTGATCATTCCTGGGGAACTGGTTTCATAGCATGGCTTTACCACAACATTTGTCCTTGCTCTGAGGAAATCTTTATACTGTTTTTAGTCATTGACTACTTTGCACGTGATTTATCTGAAGGTGTGACTTGCCTTTCTACATGACTTCTTCAGTTAATGTTACGTAGGGTGTTGAGAACTGGTGATTATCCTCTGTATTGCCTTTTTTCCAAAGCAGTCATTGCCAGCAAATAGCTCTCTGTCTTGTACACAGCTGTGTTGGTTCAGACATTGTGTGTACGGTAAATGAAAATATGAATGTAGATTCATAGTATTGTTGGGTTACTTTTGGGATCCTGGAGAGGTAACAGCTTTAATTACTAAATGATGCAATAATTGCCTTAATAAATGTTAATCTCTTCTACCCAGTGGGAATCCATAGCTGATAAGATTTATGTTCTGTTGAAAAATACCTTTATGTTTGCCTTTAAAAAAAAATCTAGGTATACTGGTTGTTCTGATAAAGTATAACAGCTCACTGGAGGCTTTGCGGGTTATATACAGTATTTACCAATGTTTTTGTATCGGATATATAGTTAGAAGGTTTATAACTTATAAAATTATAACTTCTGGATATATTTGGATTAGAGAGCACAAGAAAAAGTGTGTTGCACATTTAAAAAGCTCTCTAGCTCTCAGTATTTGTTTGTCAGGAGTGCAAATGAAGGAATTTCCCTAGCAGTGGATTACTTCACCCCACATTTGGAGTGAAAACCAGCAATATTTAGAGGGCTTAGAGAACACTAACAGGCTAGTTGAGGCAAACATATATAGATATATATATAGATATATGTATCTCCATATATTTATCTATATATAGATATATATATATATCTAATGAGAGCCATAGTCAAATAAATGCTAATAGACAGCACAATAGTAAACTGAATCAAAACAAGGCTGTTGTCTTTCCGAAGCGTTTACACAAATAATTCTGGCAGATGTCATTTTTCATAAAGAAAATTCCAGTAAGGCTTAAAAAGTCTGGTTACAGATGAAGGCTCCTTATGTTTAATGGGGGTTTGCTTATTGTATCTTATTAATCTTCCTGTCACTGCTATACGGCACATGTAGCCATACATTGCCCAATGTGTGAATTAAAACAGACAGACATTCTGGCTCTGCCCAGCATAAGGTCTTCATTTCCCGCTTTTGATTGATGTAATTTTGCAACATGTAGACAAAACAGTTGTCACTTCAAGGTGAAAATCTCAGATTTCATCATAGTGCTCTGAGATTATTTTTCTCAACAGCCTCCCGGGCTTTGTTCTGGCGTCCTCTTACATAGACTCACACAACCTGTTTAACCTCTGTGTTTGTGAGTCTGGTGACATCTGATGTTTCCAGTCTTGGTTTTTTTTCTGCTCTAGAGCCTGAATCCTTGAAATACCTGTCCTTACATGTGGAGGTTTTTGAGACTGAGTGGAAGTGACATAAGTACCTGCAGTAAAGAAAGTTAAATCTGTGTTTCTTTGTGGTGGATTGGAGTACATCAATTGGTGGTGAGGACCAGTAGAATTACCTAGATTAGGTGGAAGATATTGGAAGTGATGAAGAGACTGAAATTGTGGAGGGCCTAAGATGGCCTTTCTTGAGGGAAGGGTTTGGAGCAAGTAGCAGGAGTAGTCAAGATAGGGGCATAGGAGGAGGATGAAGCTGTGAAGAAGGAAGATAAGGATAGCAGAAGGGGTCAAAGATACCTATGACTGAGGCCTGACCTCTTCCTCCCCGCCAGCATGGCCACTTGTGAGTCCTTCTTTCCTGTCACCTAACTTGCTAGTTCCACTGACAGATGTGTAGGGGCCAAGTTGGGTGGTCCTTGTGAGTCAAATCCATAGAAGTGGATGGGTTTTAGTGGTTTTGGCATTTCTTCTTTTAATTCTAGAAAAAAGATGTGTAATAAAGTTGGTACAAAGGTTGAAAAGTCAGTCTCTCCATGGTTCAGGAAATGCCAGCATCGGGCTTGCCCGCGCAATTTTTATTCTACCCTCTGATCTGTGCATTCTTTTACATCAAGTAATTATCAGTTACATGCTGTTTTTTCCACAATACCTCAATTGTCTTGGGAAAATATGGAAGGTCACTGAAGCAATCAAATGCTACTGACAGCTGTGGTAGAAACACCCATCTGGAAAGTACTACTTAGCTTTACAGAGCAGAATTGAGGGTGCAGTAAACAACCTGGAGCTCCTCGCCGAGCAGAAAACAGTACAGCTTTCTATAACGTGACTGCGCTTCAGTCTGGAATGGAAAGCTGCGGTGGCTTCTGCTTCATCAGCTTGGGGCACTGGCGAATCTGCTGTGAGAATTTTCCTCAGATTTTTAAAAATGCCCTTTTGAGAGATCAGCCCCATGAGTTGTCATCATCTAATCCAAGCTAATTGCTCTTACAGCTTGGATATCTGGGCATCTTCCTGAAGAATGACGTGCTTTTGACACAGGCTGCAGCTTAAAGAGGCCTGTTTGACGAAAGATTTTGGGAGACCTTTAAAATGTTTCCTGGAAAGGAGCAATGTTCTTCCATTTATCACTAGCTTAGGTGATCAATAACTCATTTTTCCTGGTGAATATTCAGTATTTTGGAAGCAAATTCATGGTCAGATTTTTCCTGTTGTGATCCCCCTGAAGAAAAAAGTACCCTGTAATTCATAGCAGTATCCTCCTGGCAGATGTAGATTTGATGGTGCTTCAGTATGATCTCTGTATTCCCATTAATGCATTAAATTTGTATGCCATAGCTGTATGGCATCTATTGAATAATAGTGTTGGAGGCCTATTATTGCCACTTCTTTCTCGAAGTAGCCCATGCTCTCCTGATTGCTTGAGTGCTTGACTTTGCTGTTAATGTTGCATTTTTCTTTTCAGTACAAAGGGTGATCTTAAAGTATACATGAGAACACATGTAGTTATCCTTAAAATATGCATTGCTATAACTGGAGCTATAAAAACACTTTTAATGCCCTCTGTGCTTATTTCTTCAAAGTCCTATGTGCTAAAGGCATTTCAAGCTCCCTGCCAGAACTATTCCCCATCTGAAACGAATACTATAACCATGTGAGGGATGCCCAGGTTCTCTATGGGTCTGGTAGAGAGCAAAGTATTTTTTCCTTTTTTTTTAATTATTATTTTATTTTTCTTGTTGTTTTGTTTCCTTTTCTGCAGCTGACTTTGAGCAAAGGATCTGTGTGTCTGAGGAAGGGGCTAAGGTCAGAGTTTTTAAAGGAATTAGAGAAGCAGCAAACTGGCAAAGAGGAGATTTTTGGATGTGATGGGCCTAAAAATTGTGTCAGGGGCCAGGAAGGCCAGAGGAGTGAGCTCATTTGGTAGCTCAGGTGTGACAGAGGGGATAACAGCAGCACAACACAGGGTATGTGTTTGTTGCTCACGTGTTTGTCTTAATGACTTTTTTTTTTTCTTTTGTATTTGTAGGATCTACAGCTAGAATATGGTCATGGTCCGCAGTGTGGCTACTTCTTGGGTGCAAATAAGTGAGTAAGCAGCGGCATTTTTGGTCTTTATTTCATTCAAGATGGTTTTAATATAAAAATCACCAATGAGGGTTAAACACATTAGCTGAAATGGAGGTAGTAAAATATGTCAAGCTTGTTTGTATCAATTACAATTCCAAAATCACTAGTTATTTTTAAAATAGTAAAAATTTCAATAATGTAGAATTACAGCACTTTTCAGCAGATGAGGCTGTGTTGACTATCTTGGGTCTATGGTGCTGTAAGCTTCCTTTTTAAGAGCTGTTATCTTGGTCTGCTTGTTAACTAAATGTTCTGCATGGTAACTCTCACAGAGCACAACTTTACCCCATCTAGGAACTACCAGTGCTGCTCTCTGTCATTGCTTTATGCCCATCTTCATGTTGTAGGGCACTAAGAACGTTCCATTATAGATGCTTTAAAAAAAATAACTTGCCTCTCTCAGCAAAGTCCTTTAACCTCATGTTCATACACTTAATAATTTTGTTGTATTAATCATATGAAATAGTTTTTCATGTAGCTCTTCCTTTCCACCCAATTTCTTAATTTTCATTTGCGCATGTCGGAATTAGAATGCCAATCTTTGCTTTTCTAAATTAAATCATATTAAAAAATGCAGAAAATCTAAGCATAATATTTTTATGCAGTCCTTTAGTTGGGGAAAATGGGAGTACTGATATCTTCTGAAATCCTGTTGTTTCTCATCCCTGTATTTTGCCTGCTACTCTTCCCTGTCTGTGTTTTCAAAGACACAAAAATGAACAAGTTCAGAATGTTACAAGAGTTAACTGGGGAATAATTAATTTATTCCAATAGTAGTTTAATCCTCTTGTCAGTCTGTTTTCTTTTTTATGATTATGATTTTCTTGGATTGTGTAGATTCATTTTTAAATTGGATTAAGCTAAGACGGTCCTTGTTTTACAGTACAAGGAACAAGGACCACTGCACTTAATAGCAATACATTAATAAACACATCTGAAAGTGTGTTTTGTAAAAAAATATAAAAAATACTTAAAATCCAGCTGTGTTCATTTGTATGTGGATGTTCTATCTCTGTTGTGAAAGCCAGCTGAAATAACATGTTTGGAATATTTACTGATAGAATCATAGCAGCATTTGCCCTGGCTTTTGATAATTAAGTTTGTGTGCCACAATTAAACTGTTTTTTTTATTCTTATTTAATGCTGAAGGAGTCTCTTAAAATCAGTTGAAGAAGAACTGCACCAGCGGTAATTCTATTCTTTTTTTCCCCCCTCTTGTGTGTTTCCAAGTTGATTGTGCATTGATTTCTTATGTCTGTCACAACCAGTTCTTGTTTGTCCCTGTACTTGCTGAGAGGATATGGGAGAGGCTCAGTTGTCTGAATTGCAGCTGTGCTTTAAAGAATAATAATGATAACAAGCTAAAAGACAGTAAAATTCTGTAAAAGAGGTAGTAGTCCTTGAGCTCAAAATTTTTCACAGTAACCAAGGTAATTTTAATACAACTCACTCAGCCATAGTACCTTGTTCATTTTCTTAGGGGACATGTGGCACACTTAGAAGATGATGATGATGCAGACGATGATGCTAAACAGTAAGTCCTTTCTTCTTGGGAAAAATAAATAAATAGACAAAGCTTATTCTTGGATAGATGAAAATTTAGAAAAGTTGAATCCTGCTCTGTCCCTAATTAATAGCTCAGGATTCTTTTTCTTCTGTAGACTTTTTAAAGATAAGCATTTGATGTTGTTCCTAGATTACATCACCAGAAATTTTCTTACTCTGCTAATAAACTTGTGATAAATTAGGTGGAAAAAATCTTACTCTCTGCTTGATACAGTTGTCCTTTTATCTTCTATTATTAAACAAAATCTTGGTGGAGTTACATGGAGCCAGTAATTTGTCTAACCCTGGTCCTGATGTTTTTTTTAGTACTGATGAGTGTATATTAAAATAAAGCTCATTAAAATTACATAAAATACATATGTAACTGTCCTCTTTAGATTATTGAGTTTGTTCTGTCCACCTTCTCAGCTAGGAGAATGCTTGTATGTGTGGTTGGTTCTGGAATAAAGTCGGCTTCCTTACCACAGAGAGAGCAAGGTTATATGTCTGCAAAGGCAGTAACAATAAGCATGTGTTAAATTAATTATGCTCATGCTAAATTCCACTGGTATAAGTATTCTTGGGCTCTTTCTGATTGACAGATGAGCTGAAAGAATTTAAAATGCACAGCCAGTATGTGAAAATTTATATTCCTAAATAAACCTGGTGTAAAGACCAAAAAGAAAGATGCCATTGAGACAGAATTTTGTTTACTTTCTGTTAATGGATAATTTTGAAAGCTGTTGTGTCATACCAGAAACCTGTAAAACATGCGTTATCTGTTGCTGACATCTGTGTCTTAGAACCAGATATTGCCCTTTCTTTTTCTTGAGTCATTTTACTGGTTTTCTTTTATAATAAATGCAGTTGTTTTTATCACTGTACTGAGCATGAGGGACAGCCCCCTTCAAGAAGGGTAAAGCTACTGATAGTGTCTGATGTCAACTAGGTGACAAATACATGAAACTTGCATTGTTTAATGATCAACTTCTCAAAACACAAGTATGTTTGCTGTTTGACACAAGTGATACTTATAGAAGAAAAATTACTTTTAGCCAGTTTTTGGCAGGCTTTATACCTTTGCTAATTCCTTAAGAAGTTCTTCATATTTCATTATTAAGCGGTTGTTTAAAGGCAGGATTGATTATGCAGTTCGTCAGTAATCATCTGTCTTGTCTTTGAGAGGAAGAGGTTGATAATGCTACTTATTGATTTACTCCCCTGCATTTGGACCAAGCTGAGAGCCCACTTTGCTCATAGCTGGATAGACCTTGGTAATAACTCAGACTTCCTGCACAGTGGGGATGTAACAGTCCCCTGTAGCTCCATACTCAACTCTGGTCTTCAGTGGAGATGCTCTGGATATCTGTGCTGGTGCAAGCCAGCTCAACTTGGTTCCTCCATCCATACTAATCTCTGGATGTTTTTTGTGTACAGCTCTGTGTTTGTCCATTTTTGCTTAATGTTTCTACCCCTCCCTGCCCCTTGCTCTTTTTGCAGCGAGTATCATCAACTTCAGTGATATTCAGGGCTTGTAACATCTTGATCCCTGCCATCTTGAAGCGCTTGCACTGATTTCTTTGTCCAGTGCTTTGAGATCCTTGTTCCTCGCGCACGCTCCATCAGAACTTTCAGGCGGCGTTGGCTTTAGCTGATTATGTTGCTGTCGTGTTTCTGCGGATTTTCTTTTTCAGGTTAAGCAAGAAAGAACCTGGTAGCATCCGGAGAGGTTCAAATTTGTCTGACTCTAAGGACAGTCACCAGTGGTCTTCTGAAAAAAGACCTGGTGGTTTTTGCTTCTTTCCGTGTTTCATCCTAGGTACTTTTTGCCTTACAGAGAGGGCCTGACAATTTTCTCGAAGCACAGGGTTAAGCCTTGAATGCCTCAACCTTGGATCAGACAGAATCTGCATCTTTGCCTTTCCTCTTAGTATCTGTTGGAGCCCAAAGCTCTGCTGCAATAAGCTGGTCCATCAGCTCAGTCTTGGGTATCTTTCTCTGGAGCCCACTGAAGATTCAAGGCTTTTGTTTGATTGATATTCTGTGAGACAGCTGCAATTGGAGGGCACATGTGACACGGGTCACTTCTCCCTTCAGATCCAGAACAAAACCAATGAAGCAGCTGTACGCCTTCCAGTCCAAACTGATGCCGCTGCATCACTCTAAAGCCGGATGATTCATAGCAGCGGAGAATCCACACATTTCAAGGAACAATATAAAATTTTCTCTTTTCATTTAACAATTTTGATTGTTTGATATTTCTTTTTCTCTCATGTGCAGCAAAGCTGAAGGTGTTTGAACTTCCTGGTTAAGGAAGCTGAGAAAGCAGAAATTATTGGGGCACTGCCCTGCATGATCAGCGGTGACAAACTGCGCATAAACCTTGCAGTTGAAACCAGGGCACACAGTCCTTTGTACAAACATCTGTCACATTTATGCTTAATAGTTGGGTGCTTTGTTTTGTTTTGTGTTTTACATTTGGCTGCCCAATAACACTGTCATTACTGTCTGAGATGCAGGGAGGAATATGAAAGTAAACACAAATGGAGTTTGGTGACTGAGGACTTAAGCTTGTTCTCATATTATGAAGAGCAGATAATTTCCACTACCATAGCAGCTGAAGTGCACAACACAGGTTAACCCGTTCTCAGAAGTCCACTTCCAGCTTCTCTGAAGTAAAAGCAACTGATAAGATACTAGGCCAGAAACCCCTGAAAAGAATGAAGCAAAGCAGACAAGTTGTTGATCTGTAAACAGGCAAACAGATGCTTACTTACTACTTGGTTATTTTCCCAAAACTTTGGAACATAATTTAAATATAAGAAAAATATTGTGCAAGAATGTCAAGTTTTCACAGCTGTATTCCTAATTTATTTAATGAAAATTATTTTCTGTTCCAAAACATTAGGGAACAGGACAGTGTAAGAGTTTTTAAAAAGTTTAAAAATTCATGAAGTTAGGAATTTTTTTTTAAATACAGCATATTAACATAGACCTAGCAGTGGAAGAATGCTCCTGATGTTTCGGCTTTCTTGTTTCCTGCTAATTGCTTGTACTGTTGAGCCAAGCTGTTGAGTTGTTCTTGTGTTAAAAAGTTCTCTTTCCCAAGACTTCTGTAGAAAAGGAAAAGAAACATATGGAAGGAAAAAATCCAACCAACCAACCAAAAAAACCGCAACAAAAGAGCTCAGACAGTTGGATAGCTGTCCATAGAATTATAGAATGCGTTGGGTTGGAAGGGACCTTTAAAGGTCATCTAGACCAACCCCCCTGCAGTGAGCAGGGACATCCCCAACTAGATCAGGTTGCTCAGAGCCCCATCCAACCTGACCTTGAATGTCTCCAGGAATGGGGCCTCCACCACCTCACTGGGCAACCTGTGCCAGTGTTTCACCACCCTCATATTGAAGAACTTCTTCCTAATGTCTAATCTAAATCTACCCTGCTCTAGTTTAAAGTCATTACACCTTTCCTATTGCTACATGCCCTTGTAAACAGTCCCTCCCCTCTTTCTTGTATGCCCCCTTCAGGAACTGGAAAGCTGCAATAAGGTCTCCCTGGAGCCTTCTCCAGGCTGAACAACCCCAACTCCCAACTCTCTCAGCCTGTCCTCATAGAGGAGGTGCTCCAGCCCTCTGATCATCTTCATGGCCCTCCTCTGGACCTGCTCCAAGAGTTCCGCATCCTTCTTGTGCTGAGGGCTCTGGAGCTGGATGCAGTACTCCAGCTGAGGTCTCACTAGAGCAGAGGGACAGAATCACCTCCCTCAATCTGCTGGCCACATTTCTTTTGATGCAGCCCAGGATGTGATTTGCCTTCTGGGTTGTGACCATGCATTACTGGCTCATGTCCAACTTTTTGTCCACCAGTACCCCCAAGTCCTTCTCTGCAGGGCTGCTCTCTATCACATCATCCCCCAGTCTGTATGGATAATAAGGATTGCCCCTACCCAGGTGCAGGACCCTGCACTTGGCCTTGTTGAACCTCACGAGGTTCACACAGGCCCACTTCTCCAGCTTGTCCAGGTCCCTCTGGATGGCATCCCATCCCTCTGGCGCATCAACTGCACCACTCATCTTGGTGTCACCTGCAAACTTGCTGAGGGTGCCCTCAGTCCCACTGTTTATATCACTGGTGAAAATACTAAGCAGCACTGGTCCCGGTACAGACCCCTGAGGGACACCACTTCTCACCCATCTCCATCTGGATATCAGTCCATTGACCACTACCCTCTGGATGTAACCATCCAGCAAATTCTTTCAACTGCACCACTCATCTTGGTGTCACCTGCAAACTTGCTGAGGGTGCCCTCAGTCCCACTGTTTATATCACTGGTGAAAATACTAAGCAGCACTGGTCCCGGTACAGACCCCTGAGGGACACCACTTCTCACCCATCTCCATCTGGATATCAGTCCATTGACCACTACCCTCTGGATGTAACCATCCAGCAAATTCTTTATTCACCAAACATTCCACCCATCAAATCCGTATCTTTCCAACGTAGAGAGAAAGATGTTGTGGGAGACCATGCCAAAGGCCTTGCAGAAGTCCAGAGAGATGACATCCATTGCTCTTCCCTTGTCCACTGGTGTAGTCCCTCCATTGTAGAAAGCCACTAGGTTGGTTAGGCAGGACTTGCCCTTAGTAAAGCCATGCTGGCTGTCTCGAGTCATCCTTCCTGTCCTCCATGTGCCTTCCATTTCTTTGCATCCCTTGCCAAGTTTAGCTCCAGCCACACCTTGGCCTTCCTGACCTCATTCCTACATAACTGGGCAGCATCTCTATATTCTTCCCAAGATACCTGTCCCTGCTTGAACTGCCTATGCAGTGCCTTCTAGCTTTTAGTTTGGCCAGCAGGTCCTGATTCAGCCATTCTGGTCTCTTCCCTTCCTTACTCGATTTCTTACACCTGGGGATTGAGAGCTCTTGTACTATATGGAAAACTACCTTAAAGGTCTGCCAGCTTTGTTTTGCTCCCTTGTTCATGAGGACCATTTTCCAGGGGGTCCTGTAAACTAACTCCTCGTAGAGCTAGAAATTTGCTTTCCTAAAATTCAGGGTCCTGACTATGCTCCTCATCCAATTGGTATCTGTTAGTCCTGTATCTGTGAACTCCACCAGTGCGTGATCACTGCAGGCTGTCTCCAGTCTTGACATCCCTGATGAGCTTGCTTGCAGTGATGAGCTTCTCTCCTCGGGTGGGGCTGGCTGTTTCCTGGTGCAAAGAGGTATTGTTACATTGTTACAGAAGTTACTGTTACAGCTCACCATGTTACTTTTCCAGCTGAAGTTGGTGGAGTTGAAATTCTCCAGCAGGATAAGTGTCTGCTAGTGCAGTGCCTCCTGTAGCTGAATTTTTCATCAGTAGGCTCTCCTTGATTGAGTGGCCTGTAGTAGACACCGACCACATCCATTGCAGATAGATTTTGCTATCATATGTAGGGCTATTCTGAAGAAGTTGGCGGTAAATTTTTATAAGGGATAGTATTCATCAGTTTTCTTGTAGCTCCCCTTTGCCCTATATACCTATACACAGCCCTTTAAAAAAGCTCACTGACAACCAAAATTTTTCTCCTCTCAACAGAGTAAATGTCAGGCCTGCTCTGCATCTCCCTGCTTTTCCCTGCACAAGTATGTGCATCATCAACAAACCAGTTCATGTCATTTTGTGCTTTCTAGGGAGGATTTGTGATACTTGAGTTTTTGGATCGTATGTGTGGCGTGCACAGCAATAACAAAATGTTTGGAAGTATTCATAATGCAGTTATTTGGATATAATAGTGCTGTTGACAAGTTAATGATGTTTGTATGGTGTTTATAAAATCCTGTATCCTCTTGAACACTGATGTAAGAGATTCAAAGAGCTGCACTGGATAACAGTCGGTTACGTTTCTTTTTCTCTATAGTGCTACAATGAAACCTAAAGTGCCACCTCCTTTGCCACCAAAGGTAAGTGAAAGGGATTTTCTTGCCCAGAATAAAAGGGCACTTTAAATAAATAAACAAATGCAGAAGTGTCGAAATGACTGTACTGATGGTTCTCTCATTTAAGCCATTACTTGAAGACTTTAATGAAGCTTTAAGTCAAGGGTATATGCAGGGGGTTGACCTATATGTTTGTGGCTTTTAATTGCAAATCTGCATGAAGTCTTGCACTGTAAGGTATTTGTCAGTGTGAAAATGCTGCTTCTGACTAATTGCACTTCTGATACTTTAGAAGGAATAAATTGGGTAGTTAGAAAAATTAGTGTCACAAATAATTTTTAATAAAGAGCTGCCAAATAAAGCATCTGCTTGCTGACTTTTCATGTCTGAATGGCTATCTTCAGAGTCGTGCCTGGGTCAGGTTAGGTTTTACATGCTGCTACTAGAAGAGTAAGTAAATCTTTTCACACTGAAGTTAACTTAATATAAGCAAAAATAAAAAAGAAAAAGCACTTTTTGTTTTGTTTTTGATATGGCTGTCAGTTCCCCAAGCAAGAACTGCAGGCTTGATTACTTACCCTCTTGCACTAACTATCTTGACATAGCTGAGAAGGATTTTACAAGCAGTGTTGGTACAGGCAGTGTCTGAACAACTTTGCCCTTTTGGGGATTCTTTACACAAAATTGTGGCCATATCGTTGAATGTTCTGTAGGTTTGGTTAACTGTAGTTGTAAGTGGTGACATTTCCACATACTCAATAATTGTTTAATGCATGATTTGAATATAGTGATTTTAAATTTGTCCTTTTGTCAGTAACAAGATTTTCCTTACTGCTATGCATTTCCTTCTAGTTTGTTTTTTGAAAGAAATTTGCTTGACAGAGCATGTTGCTTTTATCAGTTCACTTGTGAAAATTCCAGAGTCTAAATACTGCACGCGTGGGTTTTTTTTTCCTCATTGAGAAGGAGCGTGGGTGCTTTGAATGTTTTTTCATAAAGTTTTTCTTATTATTATGTTTTTTTTTCAGCCTAAATCCATCTTTATCCCCCAAGAAACCCATTCATCTGAAAATGATAATCAAGGGACAATCAAGAGATGCCCAGCATCAGAGAGCCCAGCAAAATCTGCATCTCAGGTTCCACCCAGGCCACCACCTCCTCGGTTACCTCCACAGAAATCTAATGCTTTAGGTAATAAGAATGACATCAAGAATTACACAAATATTTCTTAAATAGTGTAATTTTATTTCTGCATCCTCACTTATGTATGCATTCAAACATACTGTGGTAAGTTTTCTGTGACAGGCAAGTAACAGAAAGTGCATGAAAGCCAAAATGCACAAAGAAAGCGTGCTTTTACACTCTTTTAAGTGGGTGAAATTTACCTTCTAGTAAAGTCAGACATGATTCCTGCCAATGCCATTGATGACACAGTTAGTTTTCTAAGCAGCAGGCTTATAATGTAGTGTATCAGGATTGTCACAGGGAATAAAATGTTTTCCTAGATGTAGGTTTCAGATTCTGGCCCTGTGTGGCCACTGTTGTCATTTGACATGTCAGGAATGGAGTTTAGCTTTCAAAGTTTGCTTTTATATGTAGAGAACTGGGTTGGGCAGTATAGCAGGTAATTGTGTTTCTTTACTGCTTGCTCAGGCTGTTCCTTTTATGTTTTTGTTGAAGTCTGATGCTTTGAGAATTGTCCTGGACTGGCTTCTTTTTTAAGCAAGCCTAATGTCTGACTCTTAATTGATACCTTGCTAGTCCTTCTTTGCTACTTATTTAGTACTGCAATTGATGTGTTACAGATTTGGCTGTAATGCTTTAAACATCCATTGCTAAGAAATGCCTCAAAGCTATTTATAAAGAATAGATAACAGAGGCTGTAGCTATAGCCAGGTTTTCTTTAGATATGTTTAATACACTTTTCCTCAGAACCATGTCTGCATCACCTTCTCTGCCCACAATAGATTTGTTACATTAATTACCAAAAGCCGTGGACTGAGACTGAATGTGATTCTATAGATGGTTACATGTGCACATGTAGGAACATGTATGCTTTAGAAATAAATTAGGATATTGGAACATGTTCTGACATAAGTGGAAATATTGGCACTTCGAAATCATTTTTAGGCCAAACCACACTTTGAATTAAAGGTGGAGGAACAAGTTTTTAAGTATGAATCTTTCTAGGTAATGGAGTCACTTCTGTACAATTAAATGGTGAAAGAGAGGGATCACCACTTCAACAGAATGAAGCTAGAGATACTCACTTTTCAAGGAAAGAAAAGAAGGAAATACTGGTAGGTATTTAAGCTTCTAGGTGTTATTTTAAAGTTGTCTTGAGTGTTTTACATGCAGAATGAAAAGGAGTGGGCACACTCTTTACTATAGAAATGGTGCTGGATGGCATCCTGTTTACTTTGGGTCAAAGCACAGTTTTGCTAGATCATCTAATTGTGGTACAGTCTTAAGCTGGAGTTTGAGTTGGTGTTTAATTGTAATTAGAAACTAACATAAGCACGTCAATATATGAAATTTACTTGCTTGCATTCACATACTTGAGACACATGTAATGCGCGAGAGATGTAATGTGTTGTACTGAGCAATGACTATTTAAGCAGATGAGGAAATTAAGGAATATGCTGCCACCTGATGGCTTGCTGGAGGATTTGGCTGGCTGTGGGAAAGGAGCTGAATCAGGGCTGTTCCCAAATGAGTTGTTCTTCTACGCAGATGTGGGTTTTTTTGTGCTGGAGGAAGGGTTGGGGAAAGGAGAAATGTAGATTGAGAGTTTGGATATGCAAGCTGTTTGCCCTGCTGACCTTTAGAGCTCTGGGTTTCAGGGTTTAGCAACTTGGGTTTAGTGATAGATTTGAGCTACATATTCTCTGATGAAGTTGCACTAGTGGAGAGGACGCCGTTTTAAACTGTGTCTGACCTGATCTAGCTGTGAGCTGAGGAAAGGGAATATTCCTGTTTCCCTTTCTTCTCTTCCACGTGACTTTTTCTGTCAAAGCAGCAAATGGCTTCCAGAGTGGTCACTCTGTTATTATGATGCAAAATCAAAAGTGGGAATGCGAGATAGGAGAGAGTGGAACAATCTGTAGTTAGAACATGTTAAATGTAACGTGAAACTGCATGCAAGGGGCTTCTTGTAAGGATGAGGTTGAAAATCTTGCTCTTTCAAGAGAAGTGAAGGGGAAATAGAGCAGAAACATTGTGTGCGGTTTTGTTTTGTTTTAAGGAAGTGCCAGTAATACTGGCAGCACTTTGGAAAGTATGATTTCCTGAACTGCTTTGAACTTGGCATTTGAAATTGTGTGTTTGAAGTTTCCTGTGTTACTCGTAAAATACGTTTCTTTGGAAGCATGTTTTTACTAGGAGAAGTTGATACTGATACAGGAAAGTGGGCCTAGTACTGGTTGATAGAGGTTAACGCTGCTGGCAATATTGAACAGTTTAAAAATTGCTGCAGTACTGTTTAAACTTTCTGTTGCTGGATATGGCATTCTTTCAGACATCACTGTAATGTGAAAATGTTGTGCAGTAGACTATGCAGACATTCAATGAGGAGATATTGGGGAATCATAGTAAGAGATTTTAATGAAAGAAAATGATGCCAGGTAGTTCGTGGTATGTGGTCACTAGAGACACGAAGTTAGCAAACTCCATAGGAATTACAAAAGTGTCAGTTGGAAGGGAAGTCTCTAGCCTAACCTCATGCTTAAAAATGGGACTGTAGCCAAAACTCAGCTGTGGCTTTCAGATCTAGTACCTGTGGCAATGGACACAGCAGAGAGTCCCGGTAGGTCCCTAGTGCCTTCCATTTACTGTAGCCTAGAAATATACAACACAACTCTATTTATTGTCTTAAAAAAAATCTGCAGGGAGGGTTTTTTATCTGTTTCTTATGTAGATATAAGTACCAGCTTTTTATTTTCTCCTAATATAATTGTCAAGTACTTTTAACAGCATTCTAAAAAAAAAATTTAGACTTGTATTTTGGTTATGCTGTAGTGTGGGGAGAGAATATGTGTGTTCATGTCATGCACATGTGAGTGTAAACATACTTTTAAACTTTTATTTTCTAGAAACCAATTAGTAATGGCCTTCCTCCTACGCCTAAAGTACATGTGAGTATTACTGAGTCATTCAAATGCATATTGGAAGCAGGACATGTTTTCTTACTAAAGCTGAGAGAGTGCATTTTTTGAATGTTTGTAGTTGTTTGGTGGGTTTTTTTTAAATATTAAAGCCAGTATCTCTTAGAAATGTTTAGCCACAAGTATGGCATTTCAGAAATCACCCTTGATTTTGTGCTCTTGAAGTAAATTTTGGAAGGTTTTTTGCTTGCTTCATTAAAAGGTGAATGGGAGTTCAGTGACTGTGTTACAGAAGTACTTTCAGCATAGTGAAGGCAGTTACTGATCTGAGGACCTGATGTCTCAGGAATTGCAAAGGGCTCAAAGTTTTTATACTATGCAGGTTTCAAAACTTCTGAAGATAGGGTTCACAGATGCCTTGGGGCTGGAAATAACTGTTACAGACATCTACCTGCACCTTCAGAACATAAAACAAACTAGAATTTCATTGTAATATCTGTGTGGGCTTGTCACTGTGCTCTTAGCCAGCACTGTGATCAGAAGAACCAGTCTTTCCTTCTTCTGTATGTATGCCATGTGTACTGGAGCATGCATTCATGTAGTTGTGCCATGTACCAAGTGGAGGATTTATCCGGTTTTAAACTAATCTTTTTGCTACATTACTCCTAAGCTGGATCGGTTTCTCATCTTTAGATAAGGAAATGAAACTCCTACAAGGATATATGCAAATAGTGCTACTTTTTGCATCCTGCTCATTTTAGAGAAGCAGGACAGGTTAAGGTAGATGTCGTGTTTCTGTTCCTTAGAGCTGTCATCTCTTGGATAAATGCACCGGATTGTTCCAGAGCTCTGAGTTCTTGACATGTTTAGCATTGTTTACTGAGGTTGGTCCTGCTTTAACAAACTAAATATTAAACTAAATGTATGGCCTAAGAGTGTGTGCTTTAAACTAGTGAGTGACAGAAGTCTGGAAGCACTCCTAGCATTGAAAAGAAGCAAATAATCATGGGGAGGGGAAAATGAGAGAGATTCAGTGACTAGAATGAGAAAAGGGGTAGAAAATGGAACAGCTCAAAATGAAGTCATATGTGTTTAACTTTTGCCACAAACTTCAGGGACAGACCATCAGAGAATGACTGAGTAGCTAATATAATGATGCTGAAAAAAGACTAAAACAGAAAAACTTCTGAAGCTGACCAAATGAATCTTTGGGTGTTGGACTGCTCTCTGCATGTTCAGGCATCTTTGTAGTGCACTGATTGTCTGGTTCTGCTTGTCCTCAGCTCAGAAACTCTATCCCCTCTCTTCTTCTTCCCTCATCACACCCCACATTTTATGCGTAACAGACTTTGTAACCTCCCTGTTAAGTGTTGAAGACTGACTTGGCACTTTCGTATTCTTCTCTGCCCACTGTATCCATGAGTTGCCAAATAATGAAAATTTGGGTATGGAAGGGGTTTTGGTATTACTGGACTTTATACTTTTCTCTATTGTGGAGGATGTTTTACATCCTAGCACCACGTGGGATTCTTATTTATCAAATACTGTGCTACTGCAAGTAAAACTTTCACAATATTTCAGTCTCTTCTGTTCTTTTTCTGTGGTGCATCATTGTTCTGATTCTTGTTTGTTTGGGTTTTTTGATTTGTGATTCTTAAGTCTGTTGCTGAGTGGTAAGAACAGTTTTGTGTTCTCACTGTCCTCTAAAGCAGTTCGATGTTCTTGGGCTCTGTTTAAAATGGTATATATGTGTGTTTGCCTGTGACTCTAGGGATTTTGTTTAACTTTCTTTATAACCCAGTCTGGTACTCTGTTTTTCCGTGCTGTTTTAGATGACTTGCAAAACGGGGAGACCTGTTAGATCCTACCAATGAGGGATTGCCCTGCCTGTTGACTTTATCCTGAGACGTAAATGCCTCCATGGCAGCAGTCAGATCAAGCAACCTTGCTTCAACCTTTAATTTCATGTTTGCATGGGTTTTTTTCCCCACTGGCAACTCAGTTTATTAATTTGTGTGATTATCAGCTGCATCCTTGATATTTGTTTGGTATTTAGATATCACACCCTCAGGCTCCGTTTACCCTTCTGAAGCATCTGCAGCAGCATCTTTGGCTCTGCATGCTTCCTGGAGATCAGGGCTGAGAATGGCCAGAGGAAAATTATTAATCTCTTCTGATTTTCATGTTTTCCTCCTTTCTTACCCAGCTATCACTGCAGAGCTTGACTAGGTCTTAGTAGCGAGCACAGCTTCCCTTCACTGTGCAGCATCTCTTCAGTGCTTGGAAAGGGTCGAGGAGAATTGCGTAGCTGGTTACAGGAGCAGCAGAAACACCAGTATTCTAGGAAATAAGTGCTTTGAATGTCACCTGATGTATTTTCTGTTGGGTGCATTTCAGTGGCCTGTGCACTTGGGAAGAGGCTTCCATAAAGCCACACACACAAAAAAATCCCTGTATTGTTTTTTTCTGATATTGTACCTCCGTCAAACTCCTTGCTGCCAGCAGATTTGACAACATTGAAGCTGTCAGTACCTTCAGGCCACTCTGTGTCAGTATCTTCATACATTCCTGCCTCGTATATCTTTCCTCTTACTTTGTTATGCGTGCAGAAGGATCATCTCATTGTGTTGCAAGCAGTCAGCTTTGTGCCTTGGTACTCAGACTTCTGCAGTGGTACAAGCAGCGCTGAAGTCTTTCCCCTTGTCTTTGTGTAATGGGATCTTTCATGTTTTGTTCATTCCCTTAATGAGTTTGATTCTTGCCTCACATAAGTATATATGGACAAACTCATGGACTTGATTATAGTGATGCAAGAGTGAGAGATGTCCAAAGCACAAGAAGGGTCTAATTTATGCCATTTTTCATTTTTAAGGGTTAATTACGAAGTTCTTTTATTTTCTTACTAAACTAAGCTATGTTCAGAAGTGACTGAAATGTGCACAGATTTTCTTATTCAGCGGCAGGTTAACAAAAAAATAAATGTCCAAATGTCCATGAGCTATTTGGTTAATTCAGTTTATAGATCAATAATAGCTCACAAAATATTAATATAAAGTGAAAACATTGCCATTCTGTAGCTGCATTAAGGGAGTACGTAATTTTGTGTGAAGTGATTATCTGCTTATATTCAGGATGGCAACCTTTACCATTACTTACTGGTTCTTATTTTTGACCATCATTTGATAAATGGTAACGTTTCACTTTACTCATTGTTGTTTCCTACTGCATGATTCCTTTTCACCTACAGACTACTGATTTCTAACAAAATAGGATGGGTAATTGTTATGTTGATGTTGAGGGGAAAGGAGGAAGCCCTGGCTTTGGCTTTTCTGTCATCTTGAAGCAAATTGACCAAGTATTCTTGTAAATGCCTACAAATGCTTGCACTTCACTAGGGGGAAAATGAAGAGATAGGTTATATTATGCTATGCAAGGTACTTAACTTTATAGGCAAACTGAGTTTATTAGGGTTATGCTGAGCAAGGAGTGGGATCTTCTACCAGAGGTTTCCCTTTGGAAAGCAATCAATATTGAAAGAAAAGTTAATTTGAAACAACTAAGATTTTGATTATTGCGTGACCTAGAGTTTTATTTTGAATGTATGAAAGGAGTAAAGTTTCTCTGTTGAGGCTTTCTAAAGTCACAAGATTCTGGAATATTTTTCAGGTTTGTCACCTTTGTAGTAAGTATGTGCTTAGACTGCTAATTTAAGAGCTAATTCTGGTATGTTTGTTCAGAAAGGTATTGTGCACAAAGGAAAAGTAACTTTTTGTTAAAAAAAAAGTAACTAAAAAAATCCCATTGTCCTCTTGTTGTCTGGATGAGATTATTTTCCACATGGCAGATGAAACTACTCTTAACCTTTTGTTTCTACTTTTAAGTAAAAATAGTCCCATTGGAAATGTCACGTTCTGTTTTTTCATATGTATATTTTTAATTGTTTTTACTTTTACAGATGGGTGCTTGCTTTTCAAAGGTTTTCAATGGCTGCCCACTAAAAATTCATTGTGCAACTTCATGGATAAACCCAGACACAAGAGGTAGTATATTACATACATTTTACCCAGTTTGTCCTCTCCTCAGATTTCAGGAGTGCTTACATGAGCAAGACTATTCCTTTTAAAATAGACATATTGTAAATTAAGTTTGTTTATATAAGCAGTTCTTCATTAATTATTCCACTGCCATCTGAAGTTCAATGTTGGTTTTCTAAATTATATTAAGACATACGGGCTGCAGTTTCCAACTTTGATCAAAAAGAATTAATTGCATATCAAAGGTAAATCCCCATATTTTTGGTGTTTTAATTCAAGACTCTTCTCAACAATTTAGTCCAAGAGATGCCAATCCTAATTTATTTTTTAAAAAACAACAAACCCTGACTTCTGGAGGCCCTAGTTGGGATTGATTGCTTTAGTGTTCACTTGATTCCCCACCTTCTCCTTCCCCCCTTCCGACCCCTACATCTTTCTGGTCCTATGGGTTTCTACAACTCTGTTTTTGCATACATTTTAGTACTTTATTAAATAGCTTGATGAAAGGGCTAACTGGTAGCACTGTACTCACTTTGCCTGCCATTTCAGTTTTTGATTATAGGCTATGTAGACATGCTACTGAGCAAGTAAGCAAAAAAGTACTTAGGCTTTTTAGAAACTGAAACTATGGAAGTCAAATCTTTTGCAGTTGACATCTTCTCAATATAAGATGTCTGTCTTCTTTTCATGCCTAAATGCAATCCATGGTATTAATTAGGTTTAAGAATTGAGGCACCCCTCAAGTACTGACAGAATGCTTCAGTCAATACTGCTGTTGGAAGTACTCCAGAAGAAGGCCATGAATATGTCACAAAATGTCTTAAGTAGGATAATTTATGTATGAGGAAATTATTTACATTTTTTTTCTTATGGTTGTATAACTGCTGGTTTTTATTCCAATTATTAGTCACAAAAAAACCCAAACTGTCTTAATGTCTTAAAACAGCCCGATCTGCAAATTCAAGCTTCCATGTTACCTGAAATTGAAAATAACTCCCAAGACACACAGTGTGTTTAGAGAGGAGTCATTGTTTCATTTTGCAGAGAGTGAGAGGTGGAAGATTTCCACAAATCAAGTACGCCACATGCAAAACTTACAGCGTGTTTATCTTGATACCTTTTGCTCAGTTCATCCTCATTAGGCAGCTGGCCAGCCTTTGGCACCTCTTTGGGGAGGGTGATTGGCATCTTAGTCTTGTAGCTTCCCTTCAAGGGCATATTTGCTAGTAAGGCATGCAAAGAGAGACTTTTTCTGTCCTAAATTTACGTGCCAGAATGCTTCACTATATGCAGTGTTTCCTTGTATTATCCTGCATTAACTATTTCACAGAATCACAGAATCGCTTGGTTG